AACCCTAACCCTTGTGTGTTTCTTGATCATAAAGAAACCGTTTATACTTTGCTTTAAAGTATTGTTTTTCACAATAATAAATCAACATATTAGACTAATTATAAAATTTTCCCCTTTGACAAGATCAAAAATAGATAAATAACAATAGAGTTTAAGCTCATAAATCCAGCAAACACGGAAAATAATATAGAGCGTAAAGATAACAATAGTTAAAGAAAGATATACATAGAATCAAAGGATTAAATCTCTGATGAAATACACTACTAGACATGTCAAATGCAACAAATATGCACAATATCAATATGATAATTTTCATCCGCAAAACACATTGATTACAACATATAAAACTACATGGAAGAGGGGTGCATAATGCATAAACATAATAAAAATGATGTCAACATACACATAATTAAACTTCATTTAACAAGATTTTCAATGCACAAATGCAGAGTCAAAATTGCAAATACAAGATGAATAAGCAGCATACTACACAAATATATTATCACATACACAAAATAGAACATATAATGGATTAAATAATGTCAAGATAGATTTTAGAGAGATCATACCAATAGAATTGGTAAGAAGTAACTTGCTACACAAGAGATCGTTAGTGCATACTAAAAAATATATTTCAAAAATGAAGTGATAAATATAATCAATCTTTATTCAAATCAATATGAACTAAGGACCCCTATATTCATGCAGATTTTTTGAAAGGGACCAACAGACAACGATTTTATAAAAATATCAGCGAGCTAATTTTTAGTGTCCATATATTAAAAAATAGCATCACCATTTTCTGTGTGATTTGTAAGGAAATTATGCATAATATCAATATGTTTGGTGCATGAATATAGAATTGGATTCTTATTTAGGCTTATAGTGTTAGTGTTATCACACTTAATGGGAACAAAATTGAGTTTTAAATCGTATTCTAGTACCTATTTCTTTAGCCATAAGACCTGTGCATAATAGTTACGAGCGGCTACATATATTCGGCCTCAACGGTTGAAAGAGCAACATTATGTTGTTATTGTGTCAATAAACCAAACAATTTCCTAAAACGTGGCAGGTACCACAAGTGCTTTTCCTATCTAATTTTCACCCTCTAAAATCAGAATCAGAAAAATCTACTAAGAAAAAATTGCTACCTTTGGGAAACTAGAGACTATGATGGGAGGTTACATTAAGATGCCTCAAAATTCTTTTTACAATCTTTAATTTAGATTCTCTAGGTGACACTTGAAATTGAGCACACATACACACGCTAAACATAAAATCAGATTTGTTTTCTGTTACATAAAGAAGAGATCCTATAATACCTCTATATTTTGTGATCTCCATTTTAACTCCATTTTCATCTTTATTAATCAATACATTTGATGCCATGGTGGTTGATATTGACTTCAAATTCTTCATGTCATATTTATTTAGCAACTCTAAGAAATATATATTTTTGGGTTATGATAGTTCCACTCTCCATTTTATTGATCTACATTCTTAAGAAGTAGTCGAGATCTCCCGTGAGAAACATCTCAAACTCTCCCTGTATTAATTTATAAAAATCTCAACAAATATATTTGTTATTAGATCAAAAAATAATATCATCAATGTATATATGAACTAATAAAATACGCAATTCCTTTCGTCTTATAAATAGAGTAGTGTTAGCATTACCACGAGTGAATCCATTCTTAAGTAAAAATACACTAAGGCGCTCCTACCAAGCTCTAGAAGCTTGTTTGAGACCATAACATGCTCGTTTTAGTTTAAAAACATAATTGAGATTTTCATGGTTCTCAAAATTGGGTTGTTGTGAGATGTAAACTTATTCATTTATAAAGTTGTTAAGGAATGAAGACTTAACATAAGTCTAGTACAATTTAAGATCTATGCAGCATGTGAATGCCAAAAGAAGTCTAATTTCTTTGAGACTGGCTACGAGAGTATATGTCTCCTCATAGTCAGTCCTTATTGCCTAATTATATTCCTCTACCACTAGCCTTTCTTTATTTATAGTAATTGTGTTATGTTCATCAAACTTGTTCATAAACATCCATTTGGGGCCTATGACAATTTTATTTTGAGGACCCGAGACAAGATCTCATATGTTGTTTCTTTAAAACTTATTGAGCTCTTCATGCATAGAAAAGTACAAGTGTTGGTGGAGGCAAGATGTTCATACGGGTCGTTGCATTCGTCGAACTTAGCCAACGATGGCTGTTTGAAGTTCTCTGGGGCGTGCACTTCCTATATCTCATCAGGTAGAGGTTAGGTATCCAATACCACCGATTTGTCCACCATATTTGTCTCCTGTTAATGATGCTGGATATGGAGGACATTATCCTCTGTGGTTTAGTTTTGGCAACGAAGGTCCTATTATTATAACTTCCTCACCGTCAAACCCATCATTGGGAAAAGTTGTTGTCTTTTTATTCACCATGGTTGTTAGGGGTATTAAATAGAAGGGCAATAATTTGAAAGGGTGGCGTTATGGTGGCCCATGTCAATTTTACTAAAGCTTTATGGTAGACGCCAATTGAACTTGCTAAAAGTACAAATGTGTGACAGCCCCTAGTGATTAAGGGGTATCAGAGGCTTTGAGGTTTGTTGTTAAGCTAAGAGATAACTCATATAGGGATGACAAGATATATGTGTGTGTATTTCTATATTAGAGTTAAGTTGTCCTCTCAATTGTGATGATGAGATATTTATAACCGTATAAGGCCTGGATCCAATGCTTCCCTAAAAATAGTAACCACTAAGGGAATGGATGTTTTATCTCCTGATATTCAGAGAAGCATGATCCACCTCTCCTAGAACTTATTCCATGCCATTATAGTATGGGTACACGTCACTCACCAATTCCCACGTTAGACGACGTATCCTAAATAGGGTGAGTAATCTAATATTATTGTTTACACACATAACAGACGTCCATGAAACTCAGAGTTTCATAGTCCGAGGACCCATCAATCATGAAATGAATATTTGGCAGGGGATAAGAGTAATTGGGACAAGTTGTATTGAGGTCATTGAAATCCACGCACATGCGCCACTTGTTTGATGCTTTCTTCATTACGACAATGTTAGTCAGTCAGGTTGGATATTTTACTTCAATGATGAAGCCAATGCTTGCTAACTTATTCACCTTTTCGTCAATGTCAACTCTTTTATCCTCACCAACATTTCTCTTTCGTTGAGACACACTTGTCAGCACATGGTCGACAATAAGGCGATAACACACCACTTTGGTATCTATGCATAGCATGTCGGAGGGGGCCCAGGCGAACAAGTTAATGTTCTTTATGAGTTGGTTGACTAGTTCACACTCTTCATCTTCAGAAAGTGAGGCACCTATCTTTGTCACTTGGTGACCCAAAGGCCTTATTCGAACATCCTTCAGATCTTATATAGGCGTGCGTCTTTCATTCTCCACGCTCAGTCTAGGATCCCAATCGTGGTATTTGTGTCATGCGCTTCGAAAATGGGGGTAGCTGCATGGACGATATTCTCCTTCTTCATTGTTAGGATGCTCTAATAACATTCTTGGACACTCTCTTAATCTCCTTGGAACGTTCTAAGTCACCTATTAGGTAGCGAGTATTTTAGAATCAGGTATTATATGGATATAATCGCCTCTAACGAATTGATGGCTGGTTTGTAAAGGATGACGTTATCGTGCAATAAATTTTAAGATAATTTTATATTTATTATTATTACTTCTAAAAGATGATTTTTTTATGTATCTAAGTGTACTTGCTAAAATATTACACATGCATTACAATCCTAGGTTGGTAGGGGTTGTCATAGACTTTAGTGTTTTGTGGGGTTAAAGTAAGCTCGCGAGGGTAAGAAGTTATGCTTTTAGGGTGTTTTTCTGTGTGAATATTAGATTGTTCTTTCAACCCTCTAGTCGAAGTAATTATATAAACTTATGAGCTTAGAATTATGGTTTTTTCAAAATAGAAACCGTTCACCCAAATAATGGTAGTGGACCGTTGAATTACTATTTTCTAAAAAGATTTGAGTTATTCCTCTGACAATTTCTCTACATCATCTCTAATCAAGACACGTCACCTCTTATATTTTTCCACTCTAGAAAAGTGATATGTGTTACGAACGATGTCATCCTCTGCGAGTGATATCATTATGTCACCCCGGTGGATCTTTACAAGTATATAACCACAATAAAATACTATTTGATTTAAGAGATTAATATTTACAATTATATACAAGAAATATCTAATTTCTATTGAGGAATAAGTCATATAAATTATAAATAGCTTAATTACAGTTTTAGTCTCATGTATTACTTGATTCACATAATTGGTCTTTATATTTTAAATTTAAACAGTTTTAATCCTTTTATTTTAAATTTAAACAGTTTTGGTCTTTATCTCATACTTTTGCACTTAAAATTAACGATATTTTCATTTTTTAAATTATAAATTACTTTATTATTAAAAAAAAGAAAACTAATTTTGTGAATCAGACAAAATTTTGAAACCAAAACAATAATTTAACCATTAGAAATTAAGTTCTTTATTATTAATCTATTTCTTATTTTAAAATTAATTAAAAACTTTTTCTTTTGTTTTAATTGTTTAATAACTAAAATTTCACCCCTAAAATATTAATACATGATATGTCCTAGATTTAAACTTAAGTCATTCTCCAAAATATCGTTGCACCTAGCAATAGAGTTAGATTAACTAGACAAATTATGTGTCTTTTAATTACTTATGGACTAGTTATAAACACAATTTAAATAACAAAGATACTCTCAATTCAACTATATTTTAAAAACATATTTAGTAAAACCCATGTACACACAAAAATTGTCCTTTTAAGAGAAATATTTTTCCTAAAAAAATAGTTACATATATAACATCCATATATCATTGTAGTAGCATTATTATGCAAAATACAAAAAAAAACCCAAAAGGTAGAGAAAAATTCAGAGATAGAGAGAGAAACAAATTTGAAAAGATAAGATGAGATACATTTCATCCCTTAGAAGTCCAAAGAAAGAAGAACATGAAGTGCCAGAAGCTATCACTCCAATACTACCACCAAGCTTCAACAAATCTTACACCAATGAAGATTTCTATCTTTTCGACGAACTCGAAGAGTACTTGAACATCGAAGAACAACAACAACAAAAGTTATCACCACAAAACACTTGTAATAGTAGCAATGAGCTTCATTGGGATTTCATGGAATGGAATGAGTTTCCATTTGATGAAGGGAAAGATGATAACATAAGCAAATGCAATTTTGAGGTGAAGAGAGAAAATTACAATGATGGATTTTGGGAAGTGGATGATGAAAATAGTGTTGCTTTGAAATTGAATTTGAATTTGAATTATCAAGATGTTTTGGATGCATGGTCTGACCGTGGCTCTCCTTGGGCTGATGATTGTTCTCTTTCATTGTCTTCCTCTAATAATTGCTCCTATGTAAGTTCTCATTATTCTATATTCACTTTCAGCGCGCACATCTGTTGAGATTAATCTCTCGAGTAAGAGATTATGTTTTTATTCGGTTAAATAGTCTTGTGATTAAACGTTATTATTTTAAGTAAGATGTCGTGAATTCAAACATACGTTCTGCATCTAATATCTCTGCACAGTTATCTACTGAATTGGTTTAACAGAATAAAAACTATAGTTTTATTCTCATAAATTTTAATATGTTTTTTTTTATGAATATATTTTATTTTGGATCTTACTAACATTAGATATGAATTATGATACAAACATTGTAAATTATTATTTTTCAGATGGGAGAAGTGCCAATATTGGAAGAAGAGAGAACAAGAAGAGAAGCAAGTGTTCTTAGGTACAAAGAGAAACGTCAGAACAGATTGTTCTCTAAGAAGATAAGATACCAAGTTCGGAAATTAAACGCTGATAAAAGACCAAGAATCAAGGTCACACTTTTTGAATAATAATAATATTTTTTTAATATAATATTTTTTTTCTATTTAGTTTTTGCAACACTTTGGTTATTTTGTTTTGTAACGAAACCAACTTTTTGTGATATTTTGGATGTAGGGTCGCTTTGTGAAGAGACACTGAGACTGAGGTCACTCAAGAAAAATATCTCAATCTCAAAATATCTTCTAAAATATCTAAGGCCACTTCTCTACAAGTATTTTTATTTGATTTTAATTCTAATATTGTTGTATTTATGAATGTATTTATCCATTCATATTATCTTTCTCTTCCTAAAAAATTGGAAGAGAATGAATTATACTAACGACATTTAGGGCTACTCCAAATTTATGAATTGTTTACTTCTGATTTTTTAATGAATATGTTCTTAATTTTCATGATTGTGTCACCAATTTTTGAGATCCACTTGTTGTTGATATTTTTCTGTCAAAAAAGTGAGGTCTATAATTGCTGGGTAGTGAGGGATTTAGTCACAAAGTTCATTGAGTGGATGTAATGTAGCATGCCTTTTTATTTTGCTTCACTAACAAAGTGTGGTTTGAGAATTTTTTTTGTATAGGGAGAAGGATAAGAAAATTAACAAAGTGGCTTGACTGGTCTAGATTTAATTCCATAGTTATATCTAATTCAAAATAATTCAATACTACTTGAGTTAAATTCTTCTTAACAAATCTCTCGTGTGGAGCATACAAATGATTTTTTTTAGTGTAAACACTCTAAAATTACGTTAGTATAATTTTTAGGAGAGTGTGTTTTGGACTACTCATTTGTAAGATTGTCTCTATTTATATTTATAAATATATGTCTAAATTAAATTTGTTAGATGAGACACATGTTTAAATTATATTTGTCTGATAATATATTTTGCAATATATTCTTTTGGAGTGTTATACTTGAAATTCATATATTTGTAAGATTTATCAGAGCGAGATGTGGAGATAACTTGAAAAGAACAAACGAGATAGTTTTTGAGCGAGATGTGAAGACCATAGAAGCCAACATGGTCGAAGTTCAATAGTAACTCTATTACAGACTTGTTTTATATTATGCCAAGAAAGATTTTACATAGTTAAAGTTAATTTGGATTTAAACAAAATTATGTGTCACTGCTACGAATATTTTACGATTTTCACGAACTCATGTTCGCTTTCTAACTTCATCATGCAAACATAGAAGTTCTAGATTTGAATTCTTAGGATTTCAGATCAAAGTCTACGATTTACCAGTTCATAACCTTTTCGGTCATCGAATCAAGAGCGATTAGAAGCGAACACAGAGGACTGTCTTAGTCAATTTGATTGATCCTCATTTAGATTGCAATTTCACAAAATTCCATGTCTTTGGCTCTATCATGAACTCCGTAAAAGCAATAAAAGGAAGAATCCTATATCCAAATCTAGGTCTACGTCGAGGGATAAACACAATATTCATGAAGGTTGTGCCAAAATTCACTTTCTATCTTTTGATCTAACATCATTGTTTTCTTTTGCCGCCTGCCTACTACGGCGGCGTCGAAGATACGATGAGTTTATAGTTAATGACAGGCATGAACCAACACAAAAACACCTTCTATAGGTACCAAAGAATCTTCGACCAATGGACGAGCTTTCTCTAGATAGAATCCAACGTTTCCTTATTGCTTATTCCAGTTCTATCCAGGATGGCTGCCTTAAGGGCATCACGTAGGGAGTAGAGGCATCCGGGGGTAAGCATCATATGCCCGATGAGTGCAACAGTACCACCTGGGTCGAGGCCCAAATAAAAGTGTTTGTAAAAGACATCCCCCGAGCGACATCCTCCCAGCCTGAATAAGTTGATTATCATAGGTTACCTTGTCAGGGTCGTGAAGTGAGCAGTGAAACTCTCACACAGGTCGGTCCAAAACATGGAAGTAATTCAACAACATGGAAGTAATTCAACCGTTCATTGATAAGTTTCACGTGATCGTTAAGGTCTCCCTTCTTGTTATATTCGCCCAGCTTAGGAGGTTTCTTTGTTGATTTCGGTATTTTTCTATCCAAAATACAAGCACATAGAGGATGTTTCTGAAGATTCTTTGACAAGTGTTTTTCTACCTAGTCCTGTAGAGGAACATGGTTGTCTCTATCTCCCACGTGGATTAATGAGGACTTCGACACTTTTTCTCTCCAGCTCAAGGATGGCGGCTTGGCTTCTTTTTGACATAGCATCTTATGTGGTTTTCTCCCATAGAGGTGCGTTGTGCATGCTTTCTTCGAGACGAATAAACCTCTTCTCTATTTCTTGTGAACTCAATTGTTAAACGATGTTGTACATGTTGTTCAACAGATCATTGGTGTTAGACGATGACGACTTGTCTAGAGGGGGTGAATAGACACCCAAGCCAAAATCACCAAATAAAATCTGGATTTTAAAGTTATTAGAAAAAGAGTGTGTGCAGAAGGTTTTGGCATGGATCGACAAATGTCGTCTATACGAACCTAGTTATTGGAACTCGGATATGCAAAGCCAACTATGGAATGACAAACACAATAATCAAATTTAATCTTTAATTGAGTATCACGTTATTACTCGTCTAAACTAATTGACCTAATAATGCTATTTCCAATGATAATGAGAAAAAAATATTAAACTATGCAATTTATCAAACACTTGGTGTGTGAACGGATTTTCAGAATTTCCTTTGTGTTATTGTTGATATGAAAACCACTTATAATCAAAAGTGATTATAAGGTAATCAACAATCAAGTTAAAACGAAAAGATCACAGGAAAATTCTTACAAGTCGATCGATTGATCAATGCTATTTGACAAATCACGTAATGAATAATAAAGTAAGTAAAGAGATAATAGAGAGATCGACATGAGGATTTGTTTACCCAGTTCCCCATTTTCGTCCTCGCGTGTGTATACGTCAGCGCCTATTTTCCAATGTGAAATTAGGATACTTTCTTACTATGCAAAAATTTGATGTACTAGAGAAGTGTTCAATAGAAACCATACAAACATCACTGGTTTTGATGTTGATTCAATACCTTCTCTACTTTTGATCTTGAAAAATACCAAGATAACAATGGATGCCAATTGACTTATCGATATCGCTACTCCTTTGAGTTCTTTATCTCTAAGCTTTCGCGCAAGAACAATTGCACCGGTTGTTCCACAAGACTTCAATTTGATTCGTCATTCTCTATTACTTCCTTTGTGTTCTTTATCTCCAAAGGATTTCACAACGTCGCAATCCTCTCTTAAACGTCTTGCATGAAAACCCCCAAATTTACTTACGATCTTGGAGGACAAACCGCCGGTATTTTTGGATGAAGACCCCTATAAATCTCAACCCGATATTCTCGACTACACAAGAACCTACTCAGATGTTATCAGGCCTTCGCCTAGCTGGCACCCCAACAAAAGATTATTATTTGTGATTTGTCAATGTGTAGACATAGGACGGAGGTTGAAGATGATAAGCAAATACAATCTAATTTTATGGTATCATTAGTTTGGAATAAAGCATGAATAATGTACTTATAGTTTTGGAAGATTAGTGGCAAAGAAGTAACTTTCGGAATTAAAGAGATTAAAAAATTGACCAATTTAAATAGTATGTGTCACACCCCATTTAATTATTTAGTCATGTTGTAATTATTTTGTGTGTTGTTTGTGATTTTATTGGCTTAATTAAGGGTGTGTGGTTAAGAGTGAGTGTGAGGAGGTAGCCTTAATGGAATAAAATCAATAAAACTTTAGGATAATGATAATTAATTAATAATAGGTGGGAAGTATTAGTAACATTATTGTTATTATTTTTAGAACCACTATTATTATTATTATTATTATTATTATTATTATTATTATTATTATTATTATTATTATTATTATTATTATTATTATTATTATCATGGTTAGCATTATTAATAGAATTATTATTGGGCGTAATAATAGGATTATTATTTGGATTATTATCATTATTTAGAAAATTAATAAAATAAATAAAACAATTAAGAGTAATTAGTGGGAAGTTAGAAGTCAGTTTCTACTACGTGAAAAGTGAAAGGAGCTAGGGCAAGGAAACAAGGGAATTTTCCACCATTTTTGAAGGATCAAAGCTTGAATTTCAGGTAAGGGGGAGAATGAGGTTCAATATAGGTGACCTGAACATGAGAGGGTAGTGAGGGATTTTTTTCCTCTTAGGTTATGTGCATTTTTCTCCTTCTTACTTGATTTTCGTATTTGGATAATTTTTCTGTGATTATTGTTGTTAAATAGTGGTTGTGTAATGAATGTATTTGTGAATCTGTGCTGCATGTTGTTTTCGAATAACAAATTCGTGCAAATTGTTTCTGTTGTTGTTGAGTTCTGATACATAACAGATCTGGAAATTTGGTTTGTGGGGTTAACGAAATATAGGTTTCTAGCACATAAAATGTTGATAAAAATGATGGAACAATGAGATAGAGTTAGGACCTTGGAATTAAACTGAAATAAAGATTATTTTGGATCTGATTCAGGTGCTGGAATGAGTTTTAATGTGTGAGAACTCGTGTAGATGGAAAACTGGGATTTTTGACATGCTCTCTGGTCATATGCGTATGGAGGGAGGCCATACGTGTATGGGGGACACACCCAAGAGATAATACGCATATGATACACACCCCGTCCCCAAGCCAGCACGACCTTCTAGTCGTACGCATATGATATGCGTAAGGGATGGGTCCATACGCGTATGGGAGTAGCCTTGCGTGTATGGTGAGTTCTTAAGGGGAATTCTGAGGGAAATAACCTCTGGCCATACGCGTACAACAGGAGGCAATACGCGTATGGAGGCCTGAGCAGTAACGCCATATGCGTATGTTACGCAGACCTGGGGCGAGGGAAGCTGGCCATACGCGTATGGGGCAGGGCCATATGCGTATGGGCAGAGCTGTGGTGAAAATCTACCAGTTTTGCGATTTCGGTCCCGATTTTGTGTGTAATGCATTTTGCCTTGATCCGTAATACTAAGATGGTATAATTGGACATAGGAAAAACTAGTAATAACATTAATTAGGATAAAATATGGGTTTTAATGAGAATTCCTAGTCGAGACGTGTTGGGTGTGTGAGCAAGATTTTCGTGTGTGAAGGGTCTTGTGCGATGGTTCTA